AAAAAAAACAAAAACAAAACTGATATATAATTTATAAATTGTGCTTGCTCCTGAGAATGACATTTTCATCAATATCCTTTCAGAGCATTAAGCCAAAAATATATATATATATATATATCAACATTTAAGGCATGGTGATGCTTCCTGCTGATTCTTTATTACTTATTTTACCGATAAAGTGTGTCTGTATGTGTGTTTTTTTAGCTTAATTTATCAGAAGGACAAGAACAAAAATATGTTGCGGATGTTTATTATTGCAAAATAGCTTCTTTACCATAAATATATACTTTGTCAACATGTTTAATTTAGGTAGTGCTTTAGAATTTAATAAAATATTGTGCATTGGAAAGTGCAATAAAAAGTCAATCGTGTTGAAGACAGTCTATGTTTTGGATAAACAATTTTTAATAGGGAGTGATTTTATGTTTACAAGCAGATTAGTTCTAATCATTTTGAAATTAGATGAATTGTTTTTGCATGTAGAGTTTATTTGGAGCTAAGAGATACATTTTCATGCATATAGGCTTTTGGTTCTAAATGTTAATCATGCCTAAATGTGCCTAACAAGTGGAAGAAACTTGGTAAAGTTCATTGTAATCTTTAATGCTAGCAAGTTATATTTAAATTATTATACAGGTTTCCAAGTTTGTTTTTATTATATTTTATTTTTAAATTACCAACACATTCTGCAGTGGACAAAGGTACTATACATCTATACAAGAGACAATACAACATTTGATGAACAAATACAGGAAGAGTTAAGGTCCCTATTTCAGTGGGAACTTACAATCTAGATCAGTGGTTCCCAACCAAGTCCTTAAGTACCCCTAACAGTCCATGGTTTAAGGATTACTCAATTGTGTCTAAGGTGTTTTGTGGAAAAAAACAACACTTTAGACACAACAGGGTAATCCCTAATCCTGGACTGGTAGGGGGTACTTGAGGACCTGGTTGGGAACCCCTGATCTAGATGATAAGTTTTAAACATTGAGAAAACACATCAGCAACTCAAATCTCAAGCTATAGTTCTGCACTTACACTGTGTAAAAATCATTAGAATTCAATATAATGAATCTTAGTGACCAGACTGTTTTTCAATTTTCTTACTGTTAAGGACCAGGGCTGTTTTTACATTTCTGTGGTGTTTGTGTTTAGCTGTAATTTTCCTCTTATGCATTTACTGTACCCACACATATTATATACAGTTTTTCTCACCATTAAATGCCCTTTCTAAAGATACCATTATTTCATCATATCATATAATTTACTATAAATAAAATTATAAAATATGATGAAATAATTAAAAAAAACACCTTTTCTTATGTTGACCCCTAAAATCTGTTACGCATCTACAAGCGCCAAAAAACACACTTGCTTAATAGTTTCTAAATTTTGTCCTGAGTTTAGAAATACCCAATGTTAACATGTTCATAGCTTTTTTTGCAAGTTATAGGGCTATAAGTACAAGTAGGACATTGCTGTTTCAAAATATATATTTTTAAAATGTATCAATAGTGACACTGTAACACTGTTATCTGTCATAAATCTCTGAATCACACCTCACATGTACATATTTTTTTAAAGTAAACAACCCAGGGTATTCAATATCGGGTATGTCCAGTCTTTTTTAGTAGCCACTTAGTCACAAACACTGACCAAAGTTAGCATTTATATTTGTTTGTGTGTTAAAAATGCAAAAAAACTATTATGAACGCTAACTTTGGCCAGTGTTTGTGACTAAGTGGCTACTAAAAAAGACTGAACATACCCCATATACAATACTTTGGGTTGTCTTCTTTTGCAAATGGTATGCCATCATGGGGGTAATACTCATTCCTGAGCTACCATACGGTCTCAAAGGCAACATAAGCAATCTGGCAAATTTCAATGTGAAAAAAAGGAAAATCAAGCCTTATATTTGACTCTGTAACTTTCAAAAACACTATAAAACATGTACATGGGGGCTACTGTTATACTCGGGAGACTTCGTTGAACACAAATATTAGTGTTTAAAAACAGTAAAATGTATCACAACAATGATTTCATCAGTGAAAATGCAGTTTGTGTGTGACAAATGCAAAATATTCATTTTCACTGACAATATCATCGCTGTGATATGTTTGAATGTTTTGAAACACTAATATTTGTGTTCAACAAAGTCTCAAGAGTAAAACAGTACACACTACGTACAGGTTTTAGGGTGTCATGGAAAGTTACAGGGTTAAATACAGTGCAAGCAAAATAAATTTTCTGGACTTTTGGCCTGGGTTGTCAGGCAGGTCCCTCAAATTGTAATCAATAAAATTACATAATTATGTAAAAATATTACATAATTATGCACCTAGAATGTAAATACATATTTATATATTTTAAGTCTACGTATATTTATTAAATTATTAATGTAATTATGTATATGTAGACATATACATATGTTGTATTTTTTTATTTATATATATATATATATATATATATAATTTCATTCTAAGTGTATATATATCTATAGATATATATTAATATCAAAATACAGTTAGAAGAAAATTACAAATATATATATATATATATATATCATTTGAAAAAAAGTGTTTTTTACATTTTTTTATTTATTTTTATATACTTTTTATTTATATGTTGTAATAATATGTGTGTATATATATATATATATACAATATATATAGTTATTATATATTATATATATATATATATATACACGTATGTAAATTAATTATAAGTGTATTTTTATATTAATATATGTATGTATTATTATCAAAATACACTTAGTATGACATTATTTATATATGTATATATATATATATATATATATATATATATATGTAGTAAGGCAATTTGCCTGCATTTGTGGGAGGTGCTGGTTTTCTACCCCTAGCCTACTTAAGGCACTCCCCTTGCCTGGCTCCTTACCGTTCGAGGTCAGCGTTGAATGAGGATCCACTTCCGGGTTCTCTCAGACGCCATCTTGGTTTCAGTATCCAGGAGGTTTCACCACGTTAAGCTGTGTCCAGGAATCCTGTTCAGGCCTTTCCGCCCGTCCAGCTTCTTCTGACTCCGTTCTCCGTTGTAGATCGCGTCCCAGGGACTCCTAAACCGTAAGTCAGACCTTCCTGTCACGCCAGGACTGGTTCCCACGGCGTACGGTACAGCACGGGTCCTCGCTTTACGGCTTTTCCCTGGTTATGACACGAATGTTTCAAGCCATTCGCGGGCTTTTCATTCGTACGGTCATTCGGCTGAACATGTTTTAAATCGTTCAATAGTCATTTCGCATATCCTATTCATGTTATTTAAACGAATGTTCATTCGGTTGTTTTGCCGTTCGGCAAATTTTACATACGCTCATACACGCTTTGGTTCGCATAAATCATACGGTTAAACTATTCTAACTTCTGTGTTCCCCTCACATTTGCTTTCGGCTGTTCTGTGTGTTCACGTATAATCCTTTCATGAATTATATTCACCATTTCATGTGTATATAACATTCGGTTAAAGTATTGCTTGCTTAAATAGATTATTGTTGATTACTTTTAACAATTGTCAGTATTGTATTACGTCCACAAATCAAGTCCACTTCTCTGTGTATACCATTTGACTCCCACGCTTTCAGGGGTCTGCATTACTTATCCATTTATACGAATGGACTCAGCCTATGTTACAAGCCTCATTTCTGGGTTATTTATACAACATATACAAGGATAGGTTCATTTAAGCAATAATTCTCGGGTTGATACGTCTTTGCTATACATACATATCATATAGATATACATCACTTTACATCATGTTAAATCATTTTGGGGTATCCCTGCCTTTGGTCTTTCTGCTACATATCATACATAACGCTGTGTTAATTAGGCCATGACCTCATCCATGTCCCTTTCTATAAAACCAGTTACATTTCGGTACAGATCATTGAACTCCCACGCCAGGAGTTTTTATAACTATCCATTTCATTTCAATTTACTCAGCCTACATTACAGGCCTCATTTCTCTGTCATGACGATGACACATAAGGCTTAAATCCTTTTGCATGCATACTCGGGTTGAATCACACGTACTGATCCAACCAATCATACGTCCCCTACACAGTCATATACATATGTATATAACATACGTTTCATGCTTTCCTTTACACACCATTATCACGTAACACATAGATTGTTTGTACAGAGGCCACGGCCTCCCTCAGATGTCTTATTCAAGCATGCAAACATTTCTGAGCCACTCATAGCTATTCCCATGGTATCAACATAATTTTATACATTGCTGCTACAGACTATAAGTCTGGTTCTTTTTACACTCCGCACTCATCGTACTACTCTCTTTTACCCATTTTTAGGCTGTCGAGCTTATATAATTTCTCCACACGGTTTATTCCTGTGATTTATCATACTACCAGGTACGTACACCTGCTCATATGGTATTCTACCATACATTTCATTTCATCCCCCTAATTTAGAGTACTGGCAATAGGGTCACAGGATTCCCAATAGGTATTTACCCCATCTTGGCTGTCGCCATCAGTTAGTGGTCCCGCGAGGCCAACACCCCGCCTCAAACGTTCCGGAGGCAAACACCCATCGGGCCACACGTTAGCTAGCCGCCTCGCATGTTGCAAAGAGAGGGCCTCACCTGTCACTCCCTTCCCCTGTTTTCTGTCGTACAGTCACCGAGAGGCCTAAAACTCCTGCCACTACGTCAAATGGCCTCAATAACCCCTCGCGCCAACGCATAGATAGAGCCTCTCAAGCCGCTTGGCAACTAGTAGGGCCTCACCTGTCACCAAACAAGCATAATACTTTCGCCATCCGGCCTAGCTAGCCTGCCAGTACAATTTGGTGGTTCTATATACTAATTATTGTTTTATTTATAGTATGTCTCAGGGAGGGGTAGAGGATTTCTCCCTGCCTAGCACCCCGGCTAGAGCTGTCACTCCCACACAAGGAGGAGAGCTAGCTAGTCCAGCATCAATTAGATCCTGGACAATCCCGCACATAACCACGGAATTAAGGAGACGACAAATCCCCTACCCCGCTACAGCAAGGAAGGCAGAACTTTTCAAACTGCTACGCACATCAACCAATAACATGGAAGCCGGGGAAGGATCTAGCCAGTCCAACCCAGGGGACATACAGGCCATGTTATCCTCACTCATGGCATCCATGGGCAAGGTCAACTCCAGGCTGGAGAAACTTGAGTCGGTCACCACGGCCCTCACTCTAGCAGGGCCACCCGCGGCTGCGGTACAAACACCAGCCTTGCCATTAGTCGCTCCAGCCAGCACCCTGGATGACCAGGAAGTTAGCCGGCCCACATGATACCTGAGCATATCAAAAGGGATATCCTGGAAGGTAAAGACGTCAACCTGGCTTCCCTGTTGATTGCCTCCCAGGACATTGTGGAACATAAGGCGTATGCTTATGATGATGTTTCTGTTATTGTCAGATCTAGGGATGCCCGCCTGAACAGGAAACTGACTATCCCTGAATTTGT